GAAGTGTACCTATGATGTAAATTACTGACCTCTGTCATCATTTTAAATGGGAGAACTTGCACAATCGGTGGCTGACTAAATACTTTTTTGCCCCACTGTATGCTATGATGTAAACTGGTACATTATGATGTCACAATGCTGTCGTGAGCCTGTGTGTGTGTGTGTGTGTGTGTGTGTATTTGTTAGCAGCTCTGCCTTCTCGGTCTGCCAGGCAACAGCATTTGTTGCATTTTTCAAACATGAAGTGGGAGTGGAGTTAGTTTAAAGAGCAAGTCACCCCAAATCAACCTTTTTTTGCCGATAAACTATCTAGATGAGTGTCTAATCGTGCTGTAGACACGTATAGTCAATAATGTGGCACCTTAGTGAATCTTTGTTAAAATTTAAATATTCTGCCTAAAACTGTCAGTGTTGTGCTGTTGTCAGGTAAAAACTCTGAACTACATTTGAATTTAAATCTGCCATCGTTATCGGCTAAGAGGTACACAATGACGTTAGCTGGTACATTATGATGTCACAATGCTGTTGTGAGCCTGTGTGTGTTTGTGGCTCTTCCCTCTTGGTCTGCCAGGCAACAGCATTTGTTGCATTTTTCAAACATGAAGTGGGAGTGGAAGAAGTTTCTTGTAGGGGGGTGACTTGCTCTTTAACTAACCATCCTAAACAAGCTACACCTTTTCTGCCATATCTGGACTCCAGCTGTTGCTTCTGTCTTGTGTTAACACACACCTGTATGCTCCAGTCCAGCTAACCACCAAACCCCTGCTCTTACCGAGGTGGTCACACTTGCACCTCCTGGTGGATCCTCGCCCTCTGGGTTCCTCAATGGCCCAACACAAGTTCACACACTGCTCCTGTAAACTTACCTGACTTAGATAAACAATGACACAATGCAATATGAGCCTAATCACTTCATGTTGAGACCTGTTTGCAACAAGTGGACTCCAGTGTTGTATTATGCTGGACTCTAATGTGGCGTGTGTGGTGAGGGTGGAAGCTAAAGGACAAACTGTCCAACAGTCTCGTTTGTGTCGAGCCTCTGAGCTGAGGGTCAGTGGGAAGCAAGCAGTGGCCGAGCTGCTTGGCTGCAGTAAATGAAGAAAAAGTCATCTTAAATTATCTTCACTTCAGCCCTGTGGATGTAAGCTTGTGTGTGTGTGTGTGTGTGTGTGTGTGTGTGTGTGAGTACAACTTTCATTATCTGTACTGAACTGAAAATGATAATGACTCTAATGACAGCAAGAATCCAGCAAGAACAATGAGCACCAGGAGACTAGCTTGTTTCTTCATGATGCTTCTCTAAATGATGGGACTTTCGTGGGTAAATGTTACTGAGTGTAGCAAGAGCAGCTCTTTTGACTTTGGGTGACGGTGGCACAGGAGTTGAGAGCTCGCCCCGTAATTGGAAGGTTGCAGGTTCGAGCCCCACTCAGTCTGTCGCTGTCGTTGTGTCCTTGGGCAAGACACTTAACCCACGTTGCCTGCTGGTGGTGGTCGGAGGGACCGGTGGCGCCAGTGCTCGGCAGCCTCGCCTCTGTCAGTGCGCCCCAGGGCAGCTGTGGCTACATTGTAGCTTATCTCCACCAGTGTGTGAATGTGTGTGTGAATGGATGAATGACTGGTTGTGTTGTAAAGCGCCTTGGGGGGTTCCAGGACTCTAGAAGGCGCTCTATCAAATACAGGCCATTTACCATTTGTCCCCTAAACACAAACTATACTATTTACTCTTCTTGGTCAGTTTGACGTTCACCTGTCTTGTTTATTGTCTTTAACATTCAGATTAAAAATAAATTTGTTTTAGGCCTTTTATAAATTCATCATGCAACACTGATTGTTCTTTTCAGTGTCAAAAATCACATTTTTGTGGCTGGCATGGACTTTAAACTTCACCATTTTGTTCCTCACCTTCAACAGTTTGCACAACCTTGGTCTAAATTGTTCTTAGGTGTGAGTGAGACTGTGGTTGGTTGTCTATTAGTGTCCCTCTGATGGACTTGAGACATGTCCAGAGTGTCCTCCACCTGGAGATAGACCCCATCTCCCTGTGAACCTAGTAGTGAGGTATGTGGGTATGTCCATCCATCCATCATTGATCCATCCATCTAACTAACCAACCATCCATCCATCCATCATTGATCCATCCATCTATCTAACCATCCATCCATCATTGTTACATCCATCTAACTAACCATCCATCCATCCATCATTGATCCATCTATCTATCTAACCATCCATCCATCCATCCATCCATCCATCATTGATCCATCCATCTATCTAACCATCCATCCATCCATCATTGATCCATCCATCTATCTAACCATCCATCCATCCATCCATCATTATCCATCCATCTATCTAACCATCCATCCATCCATCCATCCATCATTGATACTTCTATCCACCCATCTATCTTGTGGCAGCAGTAGCTCAACCATCTATCATTAGTCTTTCCATCCATTAATCTATCTATCTATCTATCTATCTATCTATCTATCTATCTATCTATCTATCTATCTATCTATCTATCTATCTATCTATCTATCTATCATCTATCTATCTATCTATCTATCTATCTATCTATCTATCTATCTATCTATCTATCTATCTATCTATCTATCTATCTATCTATCTATCTATCTATCTATCATCTATCTATCTATCTATCTATCTATCTATCTATCTGTCTGTCTGTCTGTCTGTCTGTCTGTCTGTCTGTCTGTCTATCCGTCCATCCATCCATCCATCTATCTATCTATCTATCTATCTATCTATCTATCTATCTATCTATCTATCTATCTGTCTGTCTGTCTGTCTGTCTGTCTGTCTGTCTGTCTGTCTGTCTGTCTGTCTGTCTGTCTGTCCGTCCGTCCGTCCGTCCGTCCGTCCGTCCGTCCGTCCGTCCGTCCGTCCGTCCGTCCGTCCGTCCGTCCGTCCGTCCGTCCGTCCGTCCGTCCGTCCGTCCGTCCGTCCGTCTATCTATCTATCTATCTATCTATCTATCTATCTATCTATCTATCTATCTATCTATCTATCTATCTATCTATCTATCTATCTATCTATCTATCTATCTATCTATCTATCTATCTATCTATCTATCTATCTATCTATCTATCTATCATGACTGATCCATCCATCCATCCATCTATCTAACCATCCATCCATTCATCTATCATTGATCCATCTAACTAACCATCATCCATCCATCCATCCATCTGACTAACCATCCATCTATCATTGATCCATCTAACTAACCATCATCCATCCATCCATCCATCCATCTGACTAACCATCTATCTATCATTGATCCATCTAACTAACCATCCATTCATCCATCCACCTGAAAAACGTATTCCTCAGTAGGATGGCAGTGAGCCTATCTCCGTCACTGGGTGAGGGGCAGGGCCATGGGCAGATCTCCAATTCTTCCCAAGGACACAAAGAGACAAACAGTCATTCTCACCTAGACCCAATTTAGAGTCTCTAAATAACATAACAAGCATATTTTTGGTTTCTGGGTGGAAACTAGAGTGGAAAACAACACATGCATGAGAACATGTTAAATCTACACAGAAATGCCACAGTTGGGATTTTAACCTGCAACCTTATTGCTGTGAGGCAACAGTACAACCAACTTCTCCCCCATGCAATCCCCATGCTAAGACAATTATTTTTCTAAATGTATGCTGGGAAACCATCTTCTAATCAATCTGTGTAACACCAAAAATTGACATATTTTTTTATCTGAGGAGTTTGGCGCCATTCATCTCGACCGTGTGAGAATATTTTCTCGCTTTGGCTGGCTGTGAGTCGTGACAGGCAACACACTGGTTCCTCATCACTACTGCAATCTGTGCGAGCCATCGTTTTAGTTTGTATCTGGTAATAGGACTGAAGAGATAGTAGCAAACTGACCAAGCTGTTTTCATCTAGCTCTTCTTGTCTATGCGCTGAAGCACCCCAAAGGCCCTTTAGATTGGTTTATCTGGTTTAAATTAAACAAATGAATAACTTAAAGGAGCATTTTGTAATAATCAAGTTAGAATTGCCTTCTCGGCCAGTCAGGGAGTTGTCAGATTTTCTCCTTTTAAAAAAGCCAAAGAGGGACGTAGTTACTGTTTATAATCTGTGAACCTGCAGTGTTGCTGAGTCAGTGCTTGCTAACGATGCATAAACTCAACACTGGCTGCCAAAAGGCAGCTCAGTAATGCAAAAGCCACAGCATCTTTTGGTTTTACTTTAACATTGAATAAAGAAGGTTAGAGGCTAACGTAGAGCAAAAAATGCTAACAGTGAATTAGAAGCAAATTGCTCTCTCTAAAAATATCTCAAGCTACTCTCACAATTACCAACAACTAGGTGTTCCAGTGAAATGTATGTTTGAAGTGGATGAGTCAATCGTGGTGTTTTACTTCCTTTTATGAGTCGTTCAGAACTATAATGGTGAGCTAAGAGGGACAGCAAACAACTACACTTCCTCTAATGCCAGAGGCATACGACCGTAATTAGTGTAGTAAGCGCTCCCTACCGTAAAACACACAAGAGTGCTAACACCAGATATGACTATGTGTTTGTTTATTATTTACTTAATTTGCATGACTCGTCTTTGCTTGTCATCACCAAATGACAGAGAAATAGTGATTTTTTGTTTATAAAAATGGGCTGCAGTACTCAAGTTAGGCCACAGGAGGTCATTCTTACCTAATTCTAGCAAATTGCACCTTTAAATAAGTAGCAGCGAACTGATTGCACAGAGTTTCTAAATAAAATATGAATAATTCAGAAAAGCTAGTTTTAGCATAAAGTTTTACCACCAAGTTCGCTGAATAAATTTTTGACTATTTAAACTTTGAAGACATTTTACATTCTCATCAAAGGCATTTCCTCAACTGAATCTGAGAAAAAAAAAGTTCTGGGCTATGACACTGCAGGGAGAACAAATTTCCTTTCAGAAGACGTTACCTTATTTTTGAGAAGTCAGTGAGTAATGTTCGTGTTTTCAGGTCACCGCACTCTCTACATCGGAGTCCATGTTCCCCTCGGCCGGAGAGCACACCGGCGTCACCGCCACCATGGACACAGGCACAGGAAGAGGTCTAAGGAGAGGGACTCCACGACTGATGACGGACGAGAATCGCCTTCACATGGTGAGTGTTCAGAAGTTCTAAAGCAAACTCCAACAAGTTTCCAATATTCTTTCTTACCATCTGACCATTTCCACCTGTCCTCCACCTCTTCCGCGTGCCCCAGCAGATACACCGGCTCAGAGGGTGCAGTTTCTGCTTGGTACAGAGGACGGCGATGAGGAGCACATCCCCCACGCCTTGTTTACCGAGATGGACGAAATCTGCCAGAAGGAGGGTGAAGACGCCGATTGGAGAGAGACAGCTAGGTACCTCGCTGCTGACAACCACCTAGCCTCAGTCTGGCCAGCTGCGGTTTTTATCTGTTGACCCCCCAAGACTTTGATCTTGTTTCTTTGATCCCTCCCACTGGTTTGATCACAGCTCAGTCAGTGGATGCGTTGATGTTTTTGCAGGTGGCTAAAATTTGAGGAGGATGTTGAAGATGGAGGCGAGAGGTGGAGTAAGCCCTACGTGGCCACCTTGTCTCTACACAGTCTGTTTGAGCTTCGCAGCTGCATCATGAATGGGATTGTGATGCTGGACATGAGGGCCAACTCGCTAGAGGAGATCGCAGGTGAACGATGTTGGGAAGTTCCTCAGTTAGCTTCACATAAACTCGTCAGATCTATAATTATTTGTGACCACGGCCATTAATAAAAATAAATACAGCAGTTTTTACATCTGCCCTTTCTTTTGTCGATCTATATCCCAACAGCTTTGTATGAGAATGAAGCATAACTTTAATGAAAAAGAAACCTAGGAATTAATGAAATTACTCTTCTAATAACATGAATCCCATGGAGAGGCTGCACCAGCAATACCAGGAAGACGTTTCAATTCAAATCAAATTTGTTTATTTATTTAGCAGACACTTTTATCCAAAGCGACTTACAATTTATAACCTATAGGGCATGTTGTGATCTGTGGGGGAAACCGGAGTACCCGGAGGAAACCCACGCACGCATGGGGAGAACACGCAACTCCACGCAGAAAGGCCGCAGCCGACTTTCGAACCTGCGGCCTTCGTGCTGCGAGGCAACAGTGCTAACCAGTGTGCCACCATGCAGCCCAAGTAACCCCAAATCCAGTTAGAAATGCCTGAGTGGTCCAGTCCAGTTCAACAAAATGTGGGGCAGTCAATGTAGCATGGTTTATTTATATAGCACATTTAAAATGCGGCATGGGAGCTGCCCAAAGTGCTGCACAGGCTAAAACAAAACACACCATTACAAGGAGCTAAAACAAAGGATAAAAATCTCAATTAAAAGCAGAGAAAACATGATGAATACTAAGAGCACATTAAAACAATGACACAATAAAACACTAAAACGAGTCACTGTCTAAAAGCCAAAGTGTAAAAGTGGGTCTTTAAACGAGATTTAAAAACCGCCAGAGATGGAGCCTGCCGAACTCCAATGGGCAATGAGTTCCATAGCTTTGGGGCAGCATGGACAAATGCTCGATCCCCCCGCGATTTGAGTCTCATCCGCAGCGTATACAGCAGCAAAAGGGACAATATTTGTGAGGGACAATGTAGTAGATGTGTAGACCAAAAGCAAAAGGAGTATTAGGATTTAGGATTAGTACTTTCATTATAAAGCTGCCATATCCAGTCCTTTACATGTCTATTGCCCTCTGGTGGAGGATCTTCAGGTGGAAAGGGCCACATTTATTTATTACTGTCATATTGTCATATTATTACATAGTAAATCAAAACCAATGGTTAAAATCAATGGTGAAGATAAATCTTATAATTGAGTTACACATTTGAGTACCAGGTGTTGATGGTTGGTACTCATCTCAATGGTTGACTCCTGATGGATGGCATGCACTATTTTTTGTCCTCCACCTGCGTACCAGTTATGTACATCCCTGATTAGATGGTTCTTTTATTACCATTAGCCAATAATTTCAGGCTTTAAATTATTAAAATGTCTAATAAAGTAACAGTAATTATATAATGTGACACAAGCGTTTGTTAGTTTTATTGTAAATAAGACCAGATTAAACATGTGATGAACTCATAGTGAACACAAAGGCTAACCTGACCCTGGTTAGTGGAAATAATGAAGATAGATATTTTATTTTTGAGGTCAGTAGAGAGAACTCTTATCTCTCTGTGGTCCAAGCTGTGCTGCTGCAAAAATCACTAGAACGTAACCTGATTTTCACCGATTAAATCAGCCACACTGGGTCGGTTTTTGCTGAAATAATCTGCTTAGCATTTGCTGGCTGTTGCACAGGGGTAAACACTGTCAGGAGAACCCTTTGTGGACTGAAAATTTGACTTTTTAAAGAGTTCTGCAGGTCGTGGAATTAATCTGTGTTGCTTTGTTTCTCAGATATGGTTCTGGATCAGCACGAGGCGGCCGGGTCCGTTGAAGAGGATGCCAGGAAAAAAATCCGTGAAGCTCTTCTCAAACAGCACCACCACCAAAACCAGAAGAAGCTGGCCAACCGCATCCCCATTGTACGCTCGTTCGCCGACATCGGGAAGAAGCAGTCAGAGCCTTATTCCATGGACAAGAATGGTGACCACATTTGTATTGTGATGGGTTTTATTTATAAAGAACACCATGCTCCACATGACCACATTTTAGTTCTATTTTTTAGTAAGAGAGGATGTGCACCGCCCAAGTCCCCTTTAAAGAAAAAGCTAAACGTGTTTGCTATTAATGTTTGTTGAGCTAGCCTGTAGCTTAGCTAACCAGAAATGCTAGAAAAGCTTAAACTGATAGCTTGGCTCGTGTCGTATCATTGGTTGATGTAAATATAATCAGTTAGTAACTGGTAAAAAGATTTCAAAGATATATTTATCAAGCCAAAACAAGCTAACTGTTCCTACTCCAGCTAAGCTAACTGAATGCTAATGCAGCTAATTCATGAGATCACCGTCAGCCCATTCCATGTTCCATTCTGTTTTATGTTGTTTTATGATGAAACGTGAAAACTTTAGCTGCAAATATTTTCTTCTCCCTTTGCTTCAGGAACTTTGTTCCTTCTGAGTTTTTAACCATAATTTAAATAATAGAATAGTTTTATGTTTAACTTTTTTAATTTTAATCCTAGAAACTGACATGATATGAACCCAACATGTGTTCAAAATTTGTCAGTTAAGAGCAAGGCCTTTTTTTTACTCCCAACACAAATTCCTGTTCCTTACTGTTGTAACTTAGCCTACAATTTACTGAGTTATCTTTTTCCATATAAATGCCTTGAAATGGGCTCAATAGATTTGTGTACACATATTTTAGTAACTAGAAAGTAAAAATTCTTAAGTGTAATATTCTAGGTGCACAGTTGGCTTTTGAAACAATATTTGTACATTAAAGGGACTTTACGGAGTTTTGAATTATTATGCTCGCGATTGCCCCCTCAGGCCAAAAGCGTAATGGCAGCTTCAATAGTAGGCTCGTGCATGAGGCGCGCATGCTGTACGTGCACACTCCTTAATGAAAATAACAGCTGAGACAGTCCCGTGTGTGTGTGTGTGTGTGTGTGTCTGTGTGTGTGTGTGTGTGTGTGTGTGTGTGTGTGTGTGTGTGTGGCCCGGAGGACAGAGGACAGGAGAACACGCAGCTAATCAATTAAATAATTTGGTTCTGTACCTTTCTCTTCAGCACAGCCGACAAAGGTTTATGATGGGTCAGTCCTCCTGCATGCTCAGATCATTCCCTTCCCTTGCTTGAAAAATTGTTCCAAAATGAAAGTTGAACCCACATCTTTTTTATCTGTGAATTCAATGCCGTTTGGCGAGTCTCAAATAAAAATTTGGGCATCTTACTGTAAAAAAAATACCATTAAGGCAAAAAAGAAACTCTAAATAGATTATGTTCACATCTGGAATCGAACCCAGATCTATTACACGAGAGTCCGACGTCTTACTAAAGCGCCAGTGATGTTCTTTTGTATCTGTAACTTTTATATGGTTGATAACAGCTGAAACAATGTTCAAAGAACGGTTCGGAGTGAAAATGGCTATTTTGTTGCTAATTTGCAGGAAATATCTAGAAGAAAGTTCTACAGAAAGTAGCTAATGGTCCTCAGAAATGTAGCTAGCTTTGTCACTAGGCGTTAGGAACAGCGACAAAGTGGCACTGCCTCTCTCTCTGCTGCTAAAGCTACGGATAGCAAATGCTACGGGCTATGCCTGAGCGTGAACGCGCATGAAGCAGCCTGCTCGACCCGAGCATCTCTCTTTTTCTGTGATTTTACAGAAAAACAGGCAATCACAGTAAAAATGCCAGGGGTCATTCTACAGGACCAGGGCATTGCAGGAGAATGTATGAAGAAGACATTTATTATTTCTATACATGTTCTGGCTGTCACACTTCCATAATGCCCCTTTAAGTTTGGAAATATCACTCTAACTTTAAAGAGCAAGTCAGCCCCTACCACTTCCTGTTTGAAAAATGCAACAAATGCTGTTGCCTGGCAGACCAAGAGGGCGGAGTTTCTAACAATACACACACACAGGCTCACAACATTGTGACATCATAATGTACCAGCTAACATCATGGTGCACCTCTTAACCAATAGTGATGGCAGAGTTTTTCCTGAAGACGGCGCAACACTGAAAGAATATATACATTTTAATTAAGATGCACTAAAGTGCCAAATGACTGACTACGCATGTCTTCAGCACAATTAGACACTTGTCTATCTAGTTTATTTCGGGGTGAGTTGCTCATTAACTTTCATTTTGACACCAACTGACCTAATATTTTGCGTTACAATAAACGGGCTTCGATCTAAACAGTTTCTCAGGACTTTCCTATTAATATAAATATAACTTATTATTTTTTAGTAAACCTCTGCTTTGATATTTGATTGGCTGATGAAAGAGCACATTTAAATCTAATAAGACAATAAAATAAATGAATGTTTGGTCCTACTGAGTGCGTAAAGCAAACTCAATAGTCAGTTTCTGACAAAGGTAAGAGAATATTATGTCTTTGTCGTTTGTGGACAGACACTTTCACTAATAAGGACTGAGCAGGTTTGAGGCCAAACGTTGCATCATGAGCGAAAACTGCACCATGTGGTCCCACGCTGGAGACCAAGACCATCGTGTCCTATGAGAAAACAGAGCGAGCTTGTGTGAAAACTGATATTATTTCTCTTTTTCTGACAGGACAAACAGTCTCACCTCAGTCCCAGCCATCCAACAATGAGAACAAACAAGACGTCAGCCGGGAGAACAGCGCTGTGGACTTCAGCAAGGTGAGCCAGCAGAACCACTACTGGCCTGGCTGTTTGTCTACTGTCACTGATAGCTGGACGCCTATCCAGGGCTGTATATTTACCCAGGCTGGGGTTACGTGTGAAATGGTCATCACAAACTTCTCCAGCAGGATTGGATGTTGCTTTCTTGGGTTGTGAGGGTCAAAGATTCAGATCCAGTCATAAAATGTCTTTTTTTTTTGCATTTGATTATGAGTAATGACTTAAATACAAGGTGCAGTTTTTGTGTCCAATAGATTGACCTCCACTTCATGAAGAAGATCCCCCCTGGTGCAGAGGCTTCCAACGTTCTGGTAGGAGAAGTGGATTTTCTAGAGCGCCCTGTGGTGGCCTTCGTCCGCCTGTCTCCTGCTGTGCTTCTGAACGGTCTGACGGAGGTTCCCATCACCACCAGGTCAGTCACGGATCACTGGAGAACCATCATTTAGGACAGATGAGACCACAAACATCCCTCACCACCTCTTGTTTTTGCTACTCAGGTTCTTGTTCATCCTTTTGGGGCCGTTGGGAAAAGGTCCTCAGTATCACGAGATTGGCCGATCGATAGCTACGCTGATGACGGACGAGGTGAGGATGATTAGCAAAGCACGTTAGCATGTGTTTATTTGTGTTCTAGGTTGTGTTTTATATGTTATATATCTACAGCACATGTGTCAGACACAAGGCGCGGATCATTTTTATGCGGCCCGCGAGATAAATATCAAATATTAAATATTAAAAGTGACCTGCTGGCCGATTTTACAGCAAAGACTACAACTTCCATGATGCTTTGCGGCGTTAGCTCGGAGCCGAAGCTCCCCCTCCTTTGTGCTTTTTCCAGCGTTTGCTTCCGGTGTCTGCAGCTCTGCTGTCTCAGATAGTGATGGGAATTCCGGCTCTTTTTAGAGAGTCGGTTCTTTTGGCTCAGCTCACCAAAAAGAGCCGGCTCTTTCGGCTCCCAAGTGGCTCCTCAGATTTTCTGTTGCGTAGAGTACATTTATAACTAAAATAATGCAAAACTTTATGTAAAATGATTTACTAATGTAAAAAATGCAATATATCAAATATTTATCATTTATATGGATTTAATAACTGAACACTTAAAGAAATCTCCACTTTCCGACTGCTGGCGCTCATTTTCTCACAGTCTTCGTCGCACTCTTCTCTCTCGCTCGCCTTTTTCCTCCTCCTCATTCCCTCTCGTCTCCCTCCACCTGCATGTGCTCTGCTGTGTGTCTGAGTCTGATCCTCCGGCTTCCCCGCCCCTACTGCTCTGTGTGTGGACGGTCTGGACACGCAGTTACACATGTTGACCAATCGCCTGTAGCTTTCACCAAAGCAAGAGGGGAGGGGAGGGGACGGCTCCCAATGACGAGCCGGCTCCCGTCGTTCACTTCAAAGAGCCGGCTCTTAGAGCCGGTTCGGTCGCGACCGACACATCACTAGTCTCGGACAAACTAAACACTCCTGTCACTCAGTGCCGAGTTTACTCAGCTATTTGCCGACGTTGAAGCCCAGAAACGGAGATTTTAACCGCTCCGTAATGTGTTCACGACTGAAAGAGAATGTTTTCCAACTAATTTCCAGACAGAGCTGATATAACTCCAGCGAGCAGCGACACGCTCAAACCAGCACGACTCTGTGGCTGCTGTAGTTTTTATTTTTCCTCCCCGACACACAACGATGTGGTCAAGCTCAGGGGCGGATTTAGGACTGAAGAAGATCCGGGGCTTAACACACACGTGCACACACGCGTGCGCACACTCGCGCGCGCACACACACGTGACACGCACTAGTCAACATCATATATACTGTATATATCTTGTACCACATAATGTTTAATCTGAAGCTACATATTCAGCATATTCAGGGCAGAGTATTGTTCCTGGTAGTGTTTAGTGTGAGATGATAGTAAATATTCCCTTTCTTTCTCCAACAACTTTACCTGATAGTAAGCTAACTTTAGGCAAACCAGCAGCACAACATATATTTTCAAATAAGACTCACAAACCTGAGTCAACACCAGTCTCATCAGAGCTGGGGTTCTGTCGTTGTACTTTTGGTCTAAAAAAACGTCCTTATGTCCATCTTCACTCATGCGTTTCAGACAGAGACTGTAGAAGAAGCCGGCTGCTGAAGGGCTTTTCTTCAGTGGTGGAGGCTCAGGCAGGCTGTATATCGATTGAGTAGCCTAGTGGTAGAGTGTCCACCCTGAGATTGGGAGTTCAGGGGTTCGACTCCTGGTCGGGTCATACCAAAGATTTTGAGAAAAATGGGACCCAGCATTAAGGGGTTGGATTGGGGGGTTAAACCACCAAATAGTTCCCGAGCGCGGCGTGTCTGCAGCTCACCGCTCCCCCAGGGGATGGGTCAAATGCGGAGACTAAATGGGACTTTACAAACTACTGCCAGCTGCGCTCTCTCTGTTGGACTTTGGTACTGCATGTTACTTCCGCGATTTAGATCCGGGGCTTATCATGAAAGATCCGGGGCTTCAGCCCAAGTAGCCGGGCCTAACGCCGCCCCTGGTCAAGCTGCTCAGACATGTTCAGCAGCACAAAAGCACCTGTTGTCATCTAATGTTGTCATTATTATGATGAAGATGAACAAAACAACAGGAGTCTCCTCCTCAGCTCAGATCAACCCCATGATGCAGGTATCTGGCTGGAACAGGTGAGCATCACAGTAAACCAGTGGAGCAAACTGAGCTTTAAATATGTTGGTTTTATGCTCTTTTTCTGCTCCAAAACATGAAAGTTAACAGGTGAGATGTTGCATTTTCATTTAAGATAAAATGATATTTTTATTTTGTTGTTGGCCCGTGAGAAAAGACTTAACCTACAGTAAACAGGAAGTGGAAAGGCTGCAGATAGGTGAATAGAATAGAAAATCCCTTTATTGTTCCTCAGTGGGGAAAGCTAGACGTCACAGCAGCGATGACACGTATTACAGGAGAAAAAAGGAGAATAAAAATAAGAAAAATGAATAAACAAGAAAACATAAATCCTGAATAGATTTATAAAATGCTGATTATACCACAAGTAAAGAATACCACTGATGTGTTTTATTTAAAACTGACTTGCTCGTGTGTAATTTGGTTATTCCACATTCAGTGTTAATGCAGAAATAAGTTTGTTTCCAAATTTAAAGGTTCAAAATTGCATATATGTTGATAAAGAAAATGTGCAAATTTGCTGTCACTTTTTCAAAAAATATTAAGTTTGGCCCTCGACTCCGTCCCAGATTTTCATTTCGGCCCCGTGTGAGTTTGAGTTCGACACCCCTGCTCTACAGCTAGCTGGAATGCTAATGTATGATAACATTTACGAGACGTGAATGGGAAGTTTAGGACATGCACGGAAATACTCACAAATATAAAGTTTCAACTCTTGACTTTTGTTCTTTTTTATACTTTTGCTTTTCTTTTAGTTTTGAGAATTTTTTCAAACACTTCTTGTTTTTCCTTTCAACCTTTTTTTAAACATTTGTTACTTTAGAAAATTTTAATCTTTTTTAGTTTTGGTCCTTTTCTTCTAAAACAGTTATTTCTGTTTTGCTCTTTTTGATTTTTTTGTTTTATTCTTTTAATTTTTATATGTGAATTAGTCTTTTTTATTAAACTTGAAATTTTCCATGCTTTTTAGTATCGTTTTTTTTTTTCAAATACATTTTTCTACTTTGGTACTTGGTACTTATTTTACTTTCTAATGTGTTCTAATGTGTTTGTGTTTTAAACTTTTTTGACCTTCTGAGCTTGTCGATATTCTGGCATGTTTAGATAAACACAGAAATGTTTATAACAGAATCTTTGTTGTGACAGAATGAGCTTTTTCTACAGTATTTCTCTAAAACCAACTCTTCTGTTCCACTGATTATTTCTGGCTAGAATAGAGTTCCGCGGCACCATCTGGTGGGGCCCGGCCTAGCTGGCCCCAAATGCAGGAAAGGCCTCTGTTTATAAAGCTAAAGTGCAATACAAGGATCAAAGAATATTAGACCATTTTCATACCTAGGCATAGTTTTAATATAAAGCACACAAACCTGGAATAATAACAGTGGGATCTTCTTGTTATACTAGCAAAGAAAATAGGCTAAACCACCATCTAAAATTGAGCCTGGATTAAATCGACCCACTATAAAATTGCTATTAATCTGGATCCTTTCATGACTTTTGTTGTGAGTTGGTGCTACATAGATAAACTCAATTGAATTGACTTTGTCCTACATGAAAAAACAAACCTCTTGAGGAAAATTCGAGCATTTTCTGACCGGAGATTTCCCACAGCAGCTTTGAGTTCATGTTTCTCACCATCAGTCATTTGGGATGTGTGAACTGATTAAGACCTGTGAGCCTTAACTTGCTTTTACTAGAATTTTTGTGCCAATGTGGGGACGATTTGAAAGGTCTCTCCAATGTTTATGAGCATAAAGGGTCTAATCAAGGCATGGGTGGCACCAGGCAGGAGCTTGGGGCTGTTAAAGCAATGGCAAGATTTGGCCAAGCAACGACTTAGCAACCCCAACCATTGAAACCCCCATTCCCACGCTCTTCGGTCCACACTGACGGACACTGGAGGGATATCCCCCTGCTCTTCGGTCTGTGCAAATGGAGAACAGCAACTCCTCACACTCACTAAGCAACTGTAAAGCAACTTCCAGATAGAGCGCTTTTACTGGTCCAGAGTCAATGGCAAAAGCATCAATACCGTGAACATCTCTGCATAGCTGGACTAGCAACATCTTCAATTTCCTGCCTTCCTCACCATGTTCTATGGGACACTGTGGAGAGTGTCCTGATGCATGGCATCACTGTGCGGTTTGGCAACTGCAGCACTCAGGATCAAAACACCCAGCGATGAGTTGTGAAAAAATCTCATCCATTCCAGATCAATTTCTCACATATGTACAAAATTACAATAAAGTTTTAGAATCTTTGAATGTAAATTGGCCTGAAGAGATTGGCATTTGGATAAACCCTGTTTACAAAGCAAACAAATATAAAATGATTTATTATGTGTCGACAGATTTTCCATGATGTAGCCTACAAGGCCAAAGACCGGAATGACCTGGTGGCAGGAATCGACGAGTTCTTGGATCAGGTGACGGTGTTACCCCCAGGAGAGTGGGACCCCTCCATCAGAATAGAACCTCCTAAAAATGTTCCCTCTCAGGTACAAAACTGTTTTGATTTGTCTACTTTTAGGTATTTGTTGCTTTTGAAAACAACAATCCCAACTGTAAAACTCCCACATTTGTCGGTCTGTTGGAAGCTCAACAGAACATCTAAGAGAATTTAATTTGTGATTTGATGCCACTCCCCTGGGTCATCTTCCCTTCCTTGTTGGATGTCGGCCACCAACATTTGATTGACAGTGATCTTTACAATACAGGAAAAGCGTAAGATTCCCCCCGTTCCCAACGGAGTGACGGATCTTGGCGAACCTGAGGAACATGGTCACGGTGGCCCTGAGCTCCAGCGGACTGGGAAGTACGTATTCAAGGCAAACTAACCATAACCCTGCATTACTAGTTACTTAATTATGAGTTGATGAGCAACAAAATTACAGAAAAAAAATGATGTAAACAGAGCCATACATAATAGGTCACAGGTCAAAGCTATTTTTCATCCTGTTTGGCTGACAGTTTCACTCAAAATAACCTACAACATATTTATTTGATTTTCACCACGAGCAATAAAATAACTTCATTCTATGACTTTTATCCTGAATAAAGCACCTCAAACAGCAGAAGCATGACTACAACAATGTTTTATGACTGAGATGACGTCAAATGACTATAGCAGCAAGTAGCAGGACCAGAACTAGTGAGAACACGAGCGCAGTAAAGCTTGGTTTAAGCTTGACACATTTACTTTCCGCTTGGTGATGCGGCTCGCGGATGGAACGCGCTTCACAACTTGCAGCGTTTATGGTTCATGCGGCTTGTCTCTGCGGTGAGCCAATATTCTCCCAAACTGTAGGGGGCAGCATGGAGCTCTACGGCATAAATCCAACACTACACCATAGTAGAAGTAGAAATTACTGTTGTTTACAACATGGCATTCCAGCATTTTTAACAGCATCCTCGTCTTTTCCGACAGTGCGAGCTATTTCTCTCCAAGAATTATTAACAACATGTTGATCACGGCGATCTCTGAGAGCTGAATCATACAAATGTCTGTGTTTACGAACCTCTGCCATGCTAGTTCTTGCCAGTCCACCATGTTTTTCCACGTCCGACCGTCCGCGTGGTTAGAAAATTTCCTAGGTGCGCGGTGCAGAAAGTTTGTGCCGTGCGGAGGCGCGGTGGAGGGGCGTGGTTTTTAAAATGACGCAATTTTGCCGCACGGAGCCGTGCGGACCTCGCGGACGCGTCAAGCATAAACCAAGTTCTATATTTAGCGTTGATCTAATCACAGAAATTGAGTGTTCCGTGTTTGCGTTCAGAGCCTAGCTTGTTCTGCAGGTTCTCTATAACATCTTTAAAATAAACATTAAACTTAACTGAAGCTGTTCAACCATGACTACTACAACATTTAGAATGACATAAACATTTTTACAGGAAAATTGGAAATGAACAGAGTTCATCTCCTAGAATACACTTAAAACTAGACTAAGAACCCTTGAGACGGATTCCCTGCCTTCTGTAATTTTGTGCATAACATGTCTGCATAACTTTTGCTGCCTCTCGGCTAGGACTCCCTTGAAAAGGAGGTTTTCAATCTCAACGGGCCCATCCTGGTTAAATAAAGAATAAATAAATAAACAATTACTACAATGACACTGAACTCAAATACATTCTACATGACTAAAACGTTTTATATCAGCGGGAGTTTCCTGTTATTTCCAGTGTATTTGTTCATTTAGCCAGCTTAGGTTTGATTGACCGTCACAGAAAGAATGTATGAGATTATTGGTTATTTATAAAAATTATAGTTTTATATACGAGTAGTGACTGAGTTCATTCTTTCAAACGAAAAACGTGGCCTCATTAAGAAGAAGTGTGTAGTTTTGTGTTTTTTCGTCAGTGTGGGACGGCGATAAATAACGCATCAGCTTATAAACACACAACCATGCTCGTCTTCTGTACTCGACACTACGTCACGTTATCGGCCATGTTACCACTACCTGCCTTTTTTATAGCTGAATGTTTTATGCTAGTTTTCTTATATTTTATTCTACTTATTCTATTTCTGAAATTTATTATTCATGTTATATGTGGCACATTAGTACCAAAACAAGTTCCTAGTTTGTGAACTGCTTGTTCATTGACAATGGCAATAAATCTTTTCTGATTCTGATTCTGATTCTGATTCTGATCAGGAGATATTTGTGTCGCTTGCCCTTGCACTCACAAATTAAAGACGTCTGCCCAAAGGAATTTAATTTTCACATTTTTGTCAGAGATATCCTGGGTTCCACGCTGAGGATTAATGATGAACAGCAGATTGAAACCCCCTCACGGCTACAAGGAGACTCTTGAACTCCGGCGAGACAATAGAGTTAGTGTGTGAGGAGTGCCTGCTGCAGATTTGACTGATTTAATAGCAGAGGCGTGAGTGATGCCCTGTAGCGGGGCTGCTGCGGAACAGAGCCTTTCCTCTCAGTTTGAACTGGCGTTAAGCTCAGACCCTTCCATAAAACCAACACCAGCCCCCTCCACCTTGCCTCTGGGATTGGAGTAAACATGGTGGCCCACCCAGTGTTGTCACAGCAACGTCCTCAAACTGGTTTTCTGCCATCCCAGTTTCAGTGCAAAATCTCAGAGGGGTCACCTGTTTGGTATCTAACTTTAGGGTTCTCACGACCAGTTCTACTGATCTGCTGGGCTTTGATACGCTGCAGCGTTCCCCTAAAATCCCTCTGGTTGCAGGTTCTGTGGCGGTCTCATCCTGGACATCAAGCGAAAGGCTCCTCACTACCTTTCTGACTACACAGACGCCATCAGTCTCCAGTGTCTGGCCTCCTTTCTCTTCCTCTACTGCGCCTGCATGTCACCTGTTATTACCTTTGGAGGACTTTTGGGTGAAGCCACAGAGGGACGTGTGGTAAGCAGCATCCGTGTTCCTGCATGTCTGAAACAAAACGTTAACCACTTCATTCACACGGAGGTTTTCAGCTGCACACATAATGAAAATGTTATGTTGTACATTAGAAAGATAGAGGCCCATGACACTGAAACCGGTCCAATAATCAGGCATTAGTAAGGAGCAGGGAGCCCTCTTGTGGCGGATGAAGGAAATTGCAACTTAACTCAACAGTAACATGAAAAAGGCAGCAGCAAATGGGTCATATTTTCATTTGCATGTACCCAATGCTTTATGTTTATTCATTTGTCAGACGACTCATAATTGAACCTAACATGCATGTTTTTGGTTTGCGGAGGGAAACTGGAGTACCCGGAGAAGAGCAACACATGCTAACGCTGCTGAGAACGTCTTATTTAGGGGCCTCGACACGCGGGAGGCGACAAATGATCGCGATCAGCGAAATTCGTCGCTGTCGCTTTTATTACCTGACACACGGGAGGCGACCCGCGGCAGTGGCAAAGCCGTCTATGCGTTCTGTTCCATGGCGAAATCGAAACTTCCGTTGTTTTGTTTGGCTGTGTCAGGTTGGAGGGAATTAAGGTTATTTAAGCGGTTCAGAGTTAATAAAGCGGTAGATATGATGTTTCACAAGGTGCTGCTAGAGTTATGTGAAATCTTACTTCTGATTTTACTATAAAACATAATAATAATCAACTTCTCCTTCATGTTTGCTCGGAGACGTACGGAGCATCCTGCCTGCTCATTGGTCAGTGAATGAAACCTCCGTTGATTGGTCCTCGTCCGAGCGACAGCGATGAAAAGCTGAAAATGTTTCAACTTTCTGGGATCGCGTCGCTGGGTCGCCTGTGCACGACACGTGCACGAGCGCAAAATTTCACACGCATGTTTTTCGCGTTTCGCTCAGTAGGAGGGAGACCCGCGATTATCGCTTTGTCGCGCACGTCTCATTGAAAATGAATGGAGGAGAGGCGATGTCGCCTCCCGTGTGTCGAGCCCATTATGAGAAAATGCTGAATTCTTTTAGATAAGCATGGTTATGGAAGGTGGAAACAAAAACAGTAAAAATGGAACCATCTCTTTGTACGGTAAGCATACAAGCTGGCATTAGCGGCCTTTCTTTAGAAAAATAAATAAATAAATAAAAAAGCTAATGGAAAGAAAAAAGTGATCCTGAGCGCCCTAAACAGACGTCGTGTGTGACTGAATGAATCATGAGAGATGCTCCTGTGTTCCAGAGTGCTATTGAGTCCCTGTTTGGGGCTTCCATGACTGGGATAGCCTACTCCCTTTTCGCCGGACAGCCTCTCACCATCCTGGGAAGCACTGGACCTGTCCTCGTCTTTGAAAAGATCCTTTTCAAATTCTGCAAGTAGGTTCCTTTCATTTATTCTGGTGAAACATGTCTTTTACGTGGTCCGTGCAGCTTCTCAGCATCAAGGGTGTCATTTAATGTGTCTCTGCTAACCCCTTGTGGGTGTGTGTGTGTGTGTGTGTGTGTGTGTGTGTGTGTGTGTGTGTGTGTGTGTGTGCGGGTGTGTGTGTGTGTGTGTGTGTGTGTGCGTGTGTGTGTCAGAGAGTACGGTCTCTCCTACCTTTCCCTGAGGACCTGCATCGGCCTGTGGACAGCCTTCTTCTGTCTGCTGCTGGTGGCCACAGATGCTAGCTCCCTCGTCTGCTACATCACACGCTTCACCGAAGAAGCTTTCGCCGCTCTGATTTGTATCATCTTCATCTACGAGGCCCTGGAGAAGCTGGTCCACCTGGGAGTGCACTACCCCGTCAACAAGAACAACGACCTTCAGAAGCTCACGCAGTACTGGCAAGTAGTCGTACCTTCCCTTAGAGACTGCGTTGTGTGCAGTGTTTTTAACTCAAACCATTAGCATAAACGAGTACTTGCTACGTCATGAAACAACAGATGGTGACCCACTGTTCATTTTATAGCACTGGGCTCTGCTTTATGAGGAATAATCTGTGGTTTGCGGAAACACTGTGGATTATCATCTCATTACATGTAGCTAAGGGTTAGTAGTAGGGATGATCACATGATCGGAAATCGGCCCCGATCACGTGGTTTCAGACTGATCGGGACTCGGATGCTGGGTTCAAATTACAGGAGAGCAACTTGGTTCTCCTTAAAGTTTGTCAGGCCCCCCTGATGCCCTTAGCTTACACACCCAGAAGGAGCACAGAGATCCAGTTTCTACCTTTATTATATTATTTACATGGACTCAGCGTAGCGGGGATTAGACCGCTGATCATTCATGAACTCCAGCTGCGTTCCTCACACGGTCACAGTAACATTTTCTACGTTTCTAAGCGGCGTCACCAAAAAATATATAATTAACACACAGTCGTTCGTGTCCGTTCATTTTCTCTCTGGTAAGGTCTGTCTGTATTTGAGCGTGACGTGTGGACGCGCTCGCGCTGCAGCGCTCGTCACTGGTGCAGCCGGGCAGCGCGGCGCACACGCCGCTTTTTCAGCGGTCAATAGATCAATTTGATCTGCTGGTTAAAAAGTTACTTGTGAGGTGAAAAATAAGGAAGCAGGCAGGAGTTTTTCTGGAGGACTGGGAGATGCAGGAAGACAGAGACAGACAGGACAGGAAGAGCAGAGACAGACAGGACAGGAAGACCAGAGACAGACAGGACAGGAAGACCAGAGACAGACAGGACAGGAAGACAGAGACAGACAGGACAGGAAGAGCAGAGACAGACAGGACAGGAAGACCAGAGACAGACAGGACAGGAAGACCAGAGACAGACAGGACAGGAAGACCAGAGACAGACAGGACAGGAAGAGCAGAGACAGACAGGACAGGAAGACCAGAGACAGACAGGACAGGAAGACCAGAGACAGACAGGACAGGAAGACAGGAAAATAAAAGGCAAGAAATCAAAACAAAGTTCTTAAAAAATAAAATGTAGGTAGATTGATCCCACTACACGTTTGTACCTGTGTAAAGCAATAATTCATCAGCATGTAGTATTTATATAGTTGATACAATTCAGATCATCTTCAAAACTCCGTCCCATGCCCAGGGGCGTATCTAAGCATTTTGGGGGCCGAGGCAAAATAGACCCCTGCCAGGTATTTTAGGTGGAGGTGCTATCTGTTTTTATATTAGACTTTTTATATTTGCAATAAAGTCCAAAAGTGAAGAATTTGTTATTTATTACTTGATTGTTCAAGCTACCTCACAGAAGTGATCTGTTGTTAAAAAAACAAGAAAAAGGTAATTAAATAAAAATAAGGAACATTCTGGAACTGTTTCTTCCATTTTTTTATGTATCAAAATACTCGGTATCGGCAGATTCTCAAAATCAAATTACTCGGACTCGAGGGCAAAAACACCTGATCGGGACATCCCTAGTTAGTATGGCTAAAAGCTCCTTCTGGGGTTTTTAAGCTTACAGTGGGTCATGAAAAACTCCTCTTTTTAATTTGTCTAAAAATCTAGCAGCACTTTTCTAAAGCAGATTAATGAATGGTATTGGACTTGAAGAGCTCTAACTACCTCACCCAATGGTTGACAAGCTGATGAAGAGACAGAATCTGGTCAAATCTTAAAAGCTAAATGTGACCTGTTGGCACTTAGCCTGGATATGAACGACTCTCAGCTACCACCACCTTCGTTTTTAGGCTATTATCTGAAAAACTGACAGAGTTGTTGCCATTTTTGTGTTTGCATGAGTCATTTAGTTAGCGCCGCCATCTTGAATGGAGTTGACACCAAAGGATGGTTGATGAATGTTTATTGAAGACATTCTGAAAGTTTCATTCGATGTTAGTTAGGTGGTTCTGAAGACATAGATCTAACAGGAAGAAAGTGTTTGACAACAATGTTTAGCTCAATATTTTTAAAAGGACCTAGAAATGGTTTTCATTTTTAATGGGATTGACTCTAAAAGTAACTCAATTCATCCAATTTTTTATTATGTTCTGAACCGCATCATTCAGTGCTATTTAAAGTACTTCGGTAAACTAATCACCACTCTTCTTGTGAAGGGTTTAATTGGATCTGGCTAAATAATGGTTTTCCCAACAGGTGTACGTGTGTGGAGCCTAAGGACCCAAGCAATGAGACACTGCACTACTGGGAGGAGAGGAACATTACTGCTTCACAGGTCAACTGGACCATGCTGGAGGTCGAGGTAAAGAAACGGTTTATTTCTAAAACAATATTTCTGATCTACTGAAGAGGCGTTTTGTTGATATGTTTTAAATCTTGCTTGTTGTAGTTGGCTCTTTGAGTGGTTTTACATGGGAGAAACAGCGATCAGCTATTACCGCTAAAACCTAGCTAATGGCTATTGAAAGAATGGCCAAAATGTAATTGTGATTTATGTTATTAGGATTTTATGAAACTTAACAAATCTAATTTATATTTGTTGCCATGTAGTTCATAACATTTCTATAGAAACCCACTTCTGAAGAAAAAAACTGCATTGAAAGTACAAATTTTGTAGGAAGTAAGTACTTTTGCTAGCTGAGGTAGCAGCCAGAAGTTAATCTAGACTATGGGAGAGAAGAACAACTAGACTAGATGGTAGGGATGCAACGATACCACTTTTTTCTAAACCGATACGATACTGATACTTGGATCTGAGTACTCGCTGATACCGCAGGGTATCCGCGGGTTCTTAAAGTCTTAAAAATTTTTAAATTAGCTTTTCCAAATTTAAGGTCTTAACAATCCTTAAAAATGACTAATAATCCTTAAATACAGTTTTCAAAGGTCTTAAATTACCAAAGACCCAATTAACAAGATTCTTTTATTTTCCTGAATTTCTAGTTAGTGTTCAGCATTTTTTGTGTACGATGTTGGCGTAAGCGGAACCGTACACATTCAGCTGGTTGTGAAAGGGGGCTATTTTTAGATGAGCACATTAGCTGGTTAAGCTAGTGGGAGCTTCTGCCATGGGGAAGGGCAAGTTTAATGGTAACTGGATGGCTAATCCCACATCCGCGACATGGTTAGCACCGGTTCCAGGCAATAGCTGGAAATTATAGCTTAAATTTATTTTAAAAAATAGCTTAAATTTGGTCTAAGTGGCCTTAAAAAAAGGTCTTAAAAAGTCTTAAATTTGGCTCCCTTAAACCTGCAGATACCCTGTACCGATTACCGATACCGATACTTCTACCACACAAAAGTACTATGAATTAGAATACAGGTTTTACTTTCTTCTCTGCTTTCAACAGGAAAAGACTGTGAGGTAGATAAGTAAAATATAAAATCACAAAACTAAAATATTTGATGAACAGAAATGACAAGTTACAGTGAAGCCACTTTCAAGGAACTGCATTGGTATCAGTTCCTGGTATCGGTTAACGCTTATCGATACTGGTATTGGTATCGGTGCATCTCTACTAGAAAGCCATCTTGTTTCCTGTTGCTGATTCCGTCCACATTTATTTTGTCAAGAGACATCAGATCTGACAGGAACTGAGTAAAGGCCCGACAGACCATGATGGTAGGAGAGGATGTTGGTCTGCACCAATTCAGCACTGACCCTTGTGTTCATCTTCTCCAATATATCATCCCATCACCTTCCTCTCCATGGGTGGGGGGGTCAGTAGGACTGTGAGATGTTACACGGGCACTTTGAGGGGAGCGCCTGTGGTCCTCATGGGCCCTTCATTCCAGATGTCCTCTTCTGGTGCGTGGTCCTCTTCTTCACCACCGTCTTCATGTCTGCTTTCCTCAAGGAGTTCAAGACAAGCCGATACTTCCCCACCAAGGTACGTTCAGCTGCAACAAACTCATAAAAAAAAATCTTGGGCCTTCGTTCTCCTACTCTCCAGTTGAGGCTTTGGGTGGATGTTGAGGGTTTTACAGAGAAATGAGGAATCTCTTGGTCACGCTTTTGTTTTGTTGAATTTTTATTCCAAATACCTTGGGAACCTCTGAAGGTAATCTCGACTTTCCAGACTTCCTTTGGACCTTTCTCTTCTGTGTTCAACCCATGGATGGTTAGATTGTTTACTGAACGTCAGTCAATAAGTCCTCTACCTTTTCTAAACACATTGACTCATTATTAGAAATCAAAGCAATAGTGGTGTCATCTGAAAAATTCTCATTACAATTTGCAGCTTTCACCTGAGTCAGTTGATTGTTGAGATGGTCATTGAGTCAATTTAATCAGGGGTGCCTATCCGTGGTCTTTGAGGCCAGCTATCCAGCATTCAGGATTTGAGTAAATGGACCAAATGTGATGAGTACACGAGTGATGGTCATTTTGGGTAAATCCGGTTAGCAGCTGGAACCCCACAATCTTCTACAGAGCCAGTGTAGCGATAGAGTCTAGACTGCAGGCAGCGTGACCTCTGAAATGCAACACGGTGCAAACTGCTACAAGTTGATTGTGATTGGTCCAGTTGGTTATTATTCTCCACTGCTTTGATAAAACACAGCCAAAGGACCCTGGGAATATTTTGAAGTGTTCTGATTAATAGTTTCTTAGACCTTCTAGATGTTTCTGAAGATTTTCTTTGAACTTCAGCTGCTTTTTCCCATGTTGGGGCCTTGTGTTGACTCCTGATCATATGGACAGAAGGCTCAGTGAAAACAATGGTTGGTCAAGTGTGGCTATCTAAGAACCTTGTTTTTACACCACTGTAACACTTGAACCTAATAACTATGGTTTTAAGGAAAATACACCTCAAAGGACTGGCTTGAATGTTAGATTCATTAAGTTAACCCATTTAAATGTTTTTAGGTCACCTTGACACCGTTACACACTTCTATACCACATGGAAAAATGTCCAATAGCCATAAAACCACTGAACAGATTCTCCTCAGTCTGTTTTAGCTGAGTTTGAACAGCAATTTCAGTTCAGAACCTGTTCAGCAGTCTCAATTAGCCACGCATTTATAAATTTTCCTCTGAACACAGCCAGACTAATCATATTTCATTCCATTTAGAAAAAGTCCAGTTTCAGTGTCAAAGATTTTTTATTCATATTTTTGGACACATCTCCTCCCAACATCTTGTTGACCAGATGTGATCAGCCTGATGGATTGTTTACACACCTACCTTTAGTTGTGGGTGAAACTGACCCCGATTCGGCTTTACTTGAGCTTACGCTACCATCTAGTGGTGGTTTTAGGAAGAACAGACCAGATCTGCAGTCTGTGAGGCTGCTCTATATGGACTACTTCTATGTTTTATCATTGGGATGACTCACATGAGCCTGATATGTGGCATGATGTTGGTGGATTGCACTGTGTTACATGATCGCCCCCTGGTGGTGATTAATTTGCCAGCAGGCTGAATGGTGGAACGTGACATCATCTCTCGAGTTGTTAAGGCTCATATTTATTAAATCATAAAGCTTTGGGATTTTTTACAACTTCCATTTATTATTGTAACCACAGAGCTCCATGTTTTTGAAAGAGCTTTAATTTTACTTTAGATGGAAAATCCTTTGACAGCTTGAAGAATTAAGAGACTAACTGACAATCTGCAGTAAAGATCTGGATAAAGTAGATAGAATCACATTTTAAATTATGTTATGTGAGCTGCTTCTGTGGTGGACTGACAGACTTATAATTATCTGCTAATAGTATTTATGATGACGCTGGTTAATTTGAACCAACCAACTTTTTCCAAGTTACTAAATAATGATGTCATTAATCACCTTTAAATTCTAGCAAAAAACTAAAGTTATTCGTTTTGGTCTGTTTTATTTTCCCGGTGGAAAAGAGTGTTTTAGTTCAGCTTGGAGTTTGAATAAAGATTTGGATCTGTTTGGGATCTGAATCTGGTTCTGATTCCAAATCAAGATCTAGATCTAGGGCTGCATGGTGGTGCAGTTGTTAGCACTGTAGCCTCGCAGCAAGAAGGTTGCGGGTTCTAAACCCGACTGCGGCCGTTTTGCGTGGAGTAGCATGTTTCCCCCATGCATGTGTGGGTTTCCTCTGAGTACTCCGGTTTCCCCCACAGATCACAACATGCCCCATAGGTTAACAATTGTACGTTGCTCTGGATAAAAGCATCTGCCAAATAAATAAACATAAACATAGATCTTGTTGTCAGGATCAGGATCTGAATCTGGATCGAGATCTAGGTCTGGTGTCAAGATCAGGATCTGAATTTGGTTTTAAATCTAGATTTGGTGTTAGGATCAGGATCTGATCCTGGTTAGGGATCAGGATCTGAATCTGGATCAAGATATAGATCTGGTGTTAGGTTCATGATCTGAATCTGGATCGAGATCTAAATCTGGTGTCAGGATCAGGATCTGAATGAGGTTCAAGATCTGGATCTGGTGTCAAGATCAGGATCTGAATTTGGTTCTAAATCTAGATTTGGTGTCAGGATCAGGATCTGATCCTGGTTAGGGATCAGGATCTGAATGTGGATCAAGATCTAGATCTGGTGTTAGGTTCATGATCTGAATCTGGATCGAGATCTAAATCTGGTGTCAGGATCAGGATCTGAATGAGGTTCAAGATCTACAGTAGATCTGGTGTCAAAATCAGGATCTGTATTTGGTTCTAAATCTAGATTTGGTGTCAGGATCAGGATCTGATCCTGGTTAGGGATCAGGATCTGAATGTGGATCAAGATCTAGATCTGGTGTTAGGTTCATGATCTGAATCTGGATCGAGATCTAAATCTGGTGTCAGGATCAGGGTCTGAATGTGGTTCAAGATCTAGATCTGGTGTCAGGATCAGGATCTGTATTTGGTTCTAAATCTAGATTTGGTGTCAGGATCAGGATCTGATCCTGGTTAGGGATCAGGATCAGGATCTGAATGTGGATCAAGATCTAGATATGGTGTTAGGTTCATGATCTGAATCTGGATCGAGATCTAAATCTGGTGTCAGGATCAGGGTCTGAATCTTGTTCAAGATCTAGATCTGGGGTCAAGATCAGAATCTGGATCAGCGTCTAGATGTGTGGTCACACAGTAAATCCAAACAGAACCAACATCATCTCATGTCTACAACGTCTTATTTTAAGAGCATGTAAGGGTTCTGGTTAACACCACAACTCACTCCTTACAAAAGCTGTGTTTTTTATTCATTTGTATGAACTCAAAGGAATCCTTTCTGATTACCCGTCAATCTCACACTGGCTGGATGGAAACAGCTAAAGGGTCAGACATGAAAAAACTTGTATCTGTCTGGTTACAGCAAGATTGACAAGCTAACAGCTAGACTTAATGGGGCTTAGAACAACATAGAAATTTGCCAACTCTCATATAAATAATTAACTAGCAGGAGCAGGTGCTACAGCCGTTTTAATGGGACAGCTCAGATGTGGGTCCTGCTGTGACTAGCTCATCAATCTAGTCTCCATTTGTTGATATTTTCTTAACCTTTTAGTGTTTCCAAATGCAGGATTTGTTTGTGTGTTTCTGTTCTTCCCAGGTGAGGTCTATCATTAGTGACTTTGCGGTTTTCATCACCATCCTGACTATGGTGTTGATAGATTACGCCTTGGGGATCCCCTCGCCTAAGTTAAAGGTCCCTGACAAGTTCAAAGTAAGTCCACACGAGGGCGCTGTTCTGTTAGCCTACACAACATCAGCTAAGACTGTCAGGATATTAATGCAGAAATTAGATGTCCTTTCATTTATTATCTGAAGTAGTTGACGTTATTATTTTTGGCACTATGAGGACTCCATACTGTTCCAATCTAATCGGTTTTTAAAAACTAATTTTACATTCATGACTTTATATTGATTAGAAAAAAAACTAATCAACTTCCTGTCAGGGGATAAGGAATACAACACAATAAGATGTATGTTTAGGGACGTTTCTATTATTTTTAAAATACATTTTTATGTGTTATAACTAGGGTTGTCACGGTGTGAAAATGTAACCTCACGGTTATTGTGACCAAAATTACCACGGTTTTCGGTATTATCGCGGTATTTTTTTAAACATGTTACATTTTCAGGCAACTAGATAAACCCTGTAAATCAGGAAAATATTGTCCTCAATTTGTGTCTAAATTTTGCCTAAAATGTGTTATTTTGTAATTATGTTGTTTATTTGTTTACAGTTTTCCCATTTAGTCTTTAAAATACCAATATTTGCCCATAACTTCTTATTTTATGTCCGTTTGATGTCATTTTAAAATTATTAGATCAGATGATACTCAGTACTCAAGTAGCCTTCTAATCAGGTACTTTTTTACCCTTACTTGAGTAATAAACCCTATATCAGGAAAATATTGTCCTCGGTTTGTGTCCTTCCAGTGAGCTTTGCAGATGTGGGAAAATGTCATCAGGCAGTAATCATTGTTAAATTCATAATTATTCTCGGAGAGAGACCAACTCTTATCTGCCCCTGGGAGCCCCGTAATGCATAGCGTCATTTCAACATGGCGGTGTCCGCGACACAGTTTACATGCAGGTAGCGGCGCTGCGGCTGCTTTATATAGCGACTCGTTGTATTCTCCCTCAATCCAAATCCTCGGATCACGCATTTTAGCTAAAACACTAACGTTAGCTTGCCTTGCATTGACTGTAGAGTTGTGGGTGATGGTCACGCAGATGTGTCATGAGATTTGAAGCGTTGCTGCCTTTCACAGACACTTTTTCTGCACGTGCTGCAAACAGGATAGCCGTCTTCTATCAGCTGTCCCTCGGCATTCTTCAGATATCCAAAAGATGCCCGTACTTCCCACTTTGTCTTCTTTGAGGGATCATAAATGTCCTGAGCGCTGCCGTCTCCTCCTTTGACCATTATTTCAGCTTTAGCTTCAAGAACGTTTTGGTTGTAAACAACAAAGTGCGCATGTGCCGCCGACAACTTCAGCAGATGATACGGTGGCTGGTAAGGGTCACCGCGCCTACACCGCAGCCACGGTAATCCACCGAGATAATATAGTTTTAAAAAAACAAGACGGTTATTATTATTGTCAACTTTTTTACCTTGGTTTACCGCTACACCGGTTACCGTGACAACCCTAGTTATAACTCCAAAGGCCTTCATATAAACACTCAGAATATCTGAGCAGTTTAGGTAACTTTATGAGTTTCATTTACAATAAATAAATGTTATTTTCCCTCCTTCAAGCCAACTAGAGATGACCGTGGCTGGTTGATCAACCCGGTTGGACCCAACCCATGGTGGACCACCATCATCACCGCCATCCCTGCTCTGCTCTGCACCATCCTCATCTTCATGGACCAGCAGATCACAGCTGTTATTATAAACAGGAAGGAGCACAAGCTGAAGGTATTATACATCTAGTTTTCTGTTGAAGACAGGTTGATGCTGACGCTTTGCCCACTGTGGTCCATGCAGAAAGGCTGTGGTTACCATCTGGACCTGTTCGTGGTGGGGGTGATGCTGGGTGTGTGCTCCGTGATGGGCCTGCCGTGGTTCGTGGCAGCCACCGTGCTCTCCATCTCCCACGTGAACAGCCTGAAGCTGGAGTCGGAGTGCTCGGCTCCGGGAGAGCAGCCCAAGTTTCTGGGGATCCGCGAGCAGCGCTTCACCGGACTCATGATCTTCACCCTCATGGGCTGCTCTGTCTTCATGACCTCTGTGCTGAAGGTAAGGCAGGAACCACCTCACTGGGTGGCTAGGCTGTTTGGAAGCAGAAAACTTGTAAAAAGAATGAAAATATTATAGCCAACC